ACTGATTGTCTGTTATATATTCTTTAGTATTCAAATCAAACAACTGGGAAAGCAAGATAAAAGCAACTGCTTTTAAAACGAATCCAGCCTATTAAAGCTTTTCATGCTTCTCTTTATGAATCTAGTCGAGTGCTACAGTCAAATGATCGACTAGATTATTTTCATTCACAGTTTAAAAGCTATGCAGTTTGCGGCTGTTTAGCTTTAAGACTATTTTGTAGTGTGTAACTATTACGTGCATTTCATTGTTGCACTTTTTAAATGAGTACATCTCCAACAACAATACACAATCTGATTGCTTCTTCCATTTTAAGATATGAATGTATATGTAATGAAATCTCCCAGGAGAAAATTCCAGCATTTGTGAATGCATTCAGCAACCTTGCATCTTCCCACAAAAAGAAAAGCTTCATCATTGGCTTTTCAGTGAAACTAACATTGGAAACATTGGAAAACATCTTCATGTAAGGCACTGTAGATAACCATAATCTAAACATCACCTTTTTGTTCCATTCTGTATGAACTTTAGGTATTCACTCTCCATCAAGATTAAAGCTGTTTCCAGTTAACTGAAGAAGGTTAGTCTTCAGTGTCACATGAGTTTTCAGAAATCATTCAAATATGTTGATTTTATCAATGCAGAAAACTTTTTTTTTTTTGCTGCTTAATATTTTTGTGGAAACGGCTATATGTGTCTGTGATTCTTTGAATAGAAAGTTATAAAGAACAGCATTTTTTAAATGGATATGTTTTATAATATTATAAATGTCTTTACTGTCACTTTTAATCAGTTTAATGTGTTCTTGCTGATTAAAGGTATAAATACAAAAAACCTGCTGACCCCAAACTTTTGTACAGTGTTTTATATTATCTGTATGTTACTTATTTTTGTTTATTGTTTAAAGTGATCACATTCCTGTTTCTTTTTTTCAGTCTGGACATCCAGTGGCCAGTTTTAAGCAGCACAGTGCTCCTGTGACGTCAGTGGAGTGGAACCCTGTTGACTCCAGTGTGTTTGCCGCCTCTGGAGCTGATGATGTTGTCAGCCAATGGGATCTATCAGTGGAGTCATGTGACATGGGAGAACAGGCAGGGGGCTTAAAACAGCTACCACCACAGCTACTGTTCCTTCACCAGGGCCAGAAAGAAGTGAAGGAGCTCCACTGGCACCCACAGATTCCTGGACTTCTCATTTCCACCGCGCTGTCGGGATTCAACATCTTCAGAACTATTTCTGTTTAACTGTGTGTGTGCGTGTGTCTGTGTGAGTGGGAAGAGAACGAGAGACTGGACAGTTTCAGGCAGAAAGAATGTGCATGTGTAGAATTTTAAATGTACATAGATGGATGAATGGAACATCTAGGTATGCATGACTCGTATGCATTTCTGTCATTTTTCCATCCCTTCTAGAACCAATATTTCAACTTCTTGAGGCAGAAATAATGTAATTGTATGATGAATTACTGATTTGTACTCGTTAAAATGTTCTAAATCATCCACAAGTCTGCTGGTTGTGTAGTAACATTATTTATAACACGAGCATATTTACCGAAGAGCCACTTTTCCTTGGGTATCCGTTCAGTAAAAAAAAAAAGATTAGGACTTTTCTCTTAATGGACATAACAGAGTATTTTTAGTCTTTCAGTTTGAAGCTAAAGGCAGGCTGTGGGTTTTAATTAAGGCAGACTGCTGGTTTTATGGGTCAAAACCATAGTAGCCTTCACACATATTATTATAAACAGAAAAGTGTTTTGTTAGTCCTTATTTCTTCATGTAAAATAATTGACAATTCAACAATTCCGTCTACATTTTGCCTTAGACAAACTGTTTTCAGTTGACAACTTTACTGAAGGAAATTTGCTAAGCCTAGATAAAATCATGATAAAACCATGATTTTACCAGGTTATATTGAAAACAAGAACATTTTACAATTTGGGTTTTTATGCATTCATTGAGTGCTCTGAATTTGCCTTCAAGACTGAGATGAGTTCAGTGTCTCTTGCTGGAAAGAGGAAACGGTTTTAATATGGAAGGATGCCCTCCAGTGTAAGTATGAAGAAAGGACTTGTTTACATTTTTGGCCAATTTTTTGGGACATTTTTGTAAATACTCAACTCCACTTCCAGCAATTGTTACCTTTTTTACTTTGAACTTTAGCAGGTGCTGTAATAATAACTCTGGACTTGTAGTCATGTATGTGGCATTTGTAGATAGTGAACAGCATATACAAAAATGTATAACATTTAGAATTATTCTGAAAAGTCTTGCAACCAAACTAACCTATTTTTATTTATCTTTCCATCCATAAATCTATCAATCCAACTAACCTTCATGGAAATATCTTAAGGCAAAATTATCCCACACTGATGCAATTAAAATAACATGGGAGGGAGTTACAAGATAGTATTCATTTATTTACTTGACTTTAAAATAAAAAAATATATCAGTAAAAATAGCATACTTACATAAATTAATTTGCCTCCCTTCAGCACATTCAAAGAATGCAAAATGCCACAAATAGTTTAATAAAACTTTTAATTACACATTTTGGTCTAGCCCAATAGACATTACTTCAATTGGCAGAGTGATTTGAGTGTAAACTCACTGATTGTCTGTTATATATTCTTTAGTATTCAAATCAAACAACTGGGAAAGCAAGATAAAAGCAACTGCTTTTAAAACGAATCCAGCCTATTAAAGCTTTTCATGCTTCTCTTTATGAATCTAGTCGAGTGCTACAGTCAAATGATCGACTAGATTATTTTCATTCACAGTTTAAAAGCTATGCAGTTTGCGGCTGTTTAGCTTTAAGACTATTTTGTAGTGTGTAACTATTACGTGCATTTCATTGTTGCACTTTTTAAATGAGTACATCTCCAACAACAATACACAATCTGATTGCTTCTTCCATTTTAAGATATGAATGTATATGTGATGAAAACTCCCAGGAGAAAATTCCAGCATTTGTGAATGCATTCAGCAACCTTGCATCTTCCCACAAAAAGAAAAGCTTCATCATTGGCTTTTCAGTGAAACTAACATTGGAAACATTGGAAAACATCTTCATGTAAGGCACCGTAGATAGCCATAATCTAAACATCACCTTTTTGTTCCATTCTGTATGAACTTTAGGTATTCACTCTCCATCAAGATTAAAGCTGTTTCCAGTTAACTGAAGACGGCAAAGTGCCCTTTAACGGAGTTATGAATTGGAAAAACTGAACATTTACTGCTCAACATTATATAGTTGAGACCATGGGAAATGTATGAATATGTTTGTTCATAGGTTATTCTTTGTAAGACATCACACTGTCCATGGGAGACTTTCAAAATTTGTAGTTATAAAATCCAATAAAAAACAAAACCGTAACATTGTCTTACTTTCATAAAATAGTTCCAAAAATGAGCAAACACCATTGTAAACTTGGAAAAGAAAGTTCCAAATTGTCCAGTTATTACCTCAAGATGAAATTTTCATTAACTCTCCCTGTATGGATGTTTTTTCTTTTTTAAGAATAATTCTGTTCATGTCGTGATCCATATGCCAGTGACTTATTTTTGGTCCTCAAATCGCTCAATATGTTCTCTTATAGGCCAATCTCATCATTACTGATGCAATTAAAATAACATGGGAGGGAGTTACAAGATAGTATTCATTTATTTACTTGACTTTAAAATAAAAAAATATATCAGTAAAAATAGCATACTTACATTAATTTGCCTCCCTTCAGCACATAGCCTTCACACATATTATTATAAACAGAAAAGTGTTTTGTTAGTCCTTATTTCTTCATGTAAAATAATTGACAATTCAACAATTCCGTCTACATTTTGCCTTAGACAAACTGTTTTCAGTTGACAACTTTACTGAAGGAAATTTGCTAAGCCTAGATAAAATCATGATAAAACCATGATTTTACCAGGTTATATTGAAAACAAGAACATTTTACAATTTGGGTTTTTATGCATTCATTGAGTGCTCTGAATTTGCCTTCAAGACTGAGATGAGTTCAGTGTCTCTTGCTGGAAAGAGGAAACGGTTTTAATATGGAAGGATGCCCTCCAGTGTAAGTATGAAGAAAGGACTTGTTTACATTTTTGGCCAATTTTTTGGGACATTTTTGTAAATACTCAACTCCACTTCCAGCAATTGTTACCTTTTTTACTTTGAACTTTAGCAGGTGCTGTAATAATAACTCTGGACTTGTAGTCATGTATGTGGCATTTGTAGATAGTGAACAGCATATACAAAAATGTATAACATTTAGAATTATTCTGAAAAGTCTTGCAACCAAACTAACCTATTTTTATTTATCTTTCCATCCATAAATCTATCAATCCAACTAACCTTCATGGAAATATCTTAAGGCAAAATTATCCCACACTGATGCAATTAAAATAACATGGGAGGGAGTTACAAGATAGTATTCATTTATTTACTTGACTTTAAAATAAAAAAATATATCAGTAAAAATAGCATACTTACATAAATTAATTTGCCTCCCTTCAGCACATTCAAAGAATGCAAAATGCCACAAATAGTTTAATAAAACTTTTAATTACACATTTTGGTCTAGCCCAATAGACATTACTTCAATTGGCAGAGTGATTTGAGTGTAAACTCACTGATTGTCTGTTATATATTCTTTAGTATTCAAATCAAACAACTGGGAAAGCAAGATAAAAGCAACTGCTTTTAAAACGAATCCAGCCTATTAAAGCTTTTCATGCTTCTCTTTATGAATCTAGTCGAGTGCTACAGTCAAATGATCGACTAGATTATTTTCATTCACAGTTTAAAAGCTATGCAGTTTGCGGCTGTTTAGCTTTAAGACTATTTTGTAGTGTGTAACTATTACGTGCATTTCATTGTTGCACTTTTTAAATGAGTACATCTCCAACAACAATACACAATCTGATTGCTTCTTCCATTTTAAGATATGAATGTATATGTAATGAAATCTCCCAGGAGAAAATTCCAGCATTTGTGAATGCCCTGTATGGATGTTTTTTCTTTTTTAAGAATAATTCTGTTCATGTCGTGATCCATATGCCAGTGACTTATTTTTGGTCCTCAAATCGCTCAATATGTTCTCTTATAGGCCAATCTCATCATTGAATTCGTCCTCAAAAGTGTATCCTTGTTGTCCGTTGGCACCTTCCTCCTCTGAATCTGTTTCTGAAAGATGCTGGTCTTCTCTCCTCCGGTCCAGCGGTGAGACTCCCTCATATTCTGAGCTCACTGAGGAAGAGAGGCTTGGAGAGTTGTCCTCCCTCCGATTAACCACCTCTGCTTGTCTTGGGTCTTTGTCGTAAGCCGTTTTCCCACTAATCTCTTGCATCTCCTTATTTGGTCTCAAGCCCATTTCTTCTTCAACTTCCACATCTAGCCCTTCGATTATCTCCTGTCGCCCGATGATCTCATCACGTTTGTCGCTGAATCGCACTTTGGGCCTGAGCCCTTTTGATTTCACGCCATTGACCTCGTTGAGTTGCTCATCTCGTTGGCTCACCTCTTTGGTCATACTTTCCATTCTCATCCTCTCGCTCAACTCATTGGCAGCACTCCTTGGTGACATCATCACATCTCTTGTGCTCTTGCTGGAACTAAACACCTCTTCATTGTCTTCGTGAGAACCCATCGTCAGACCGTCCATCACGCCCAGGACATCTCCTAAAATCGAAGGCCCTAAATCCAAGTCGAGGTCAAAGGAAGAAACTGAATCGGAATGCTGGAGCTCATTCGGACCGGTATCTTCTGCATATTCAAATTCATTGCTATGGTTCATCTGATTGTCTGTGGTCTCTACAGTGGCTGCCACGTCTGGTTGCACAGACTTGGGATTAGGACTAGAGGGGCCATGGCTGGACAGGAAGGAGGTGTCACCAAAAGCGTCTCCACCGCGACCAATGTGCATGGTGTGACGGAAATCTCCCAGGGGGGCAGAGATCATGGTGGGATCCAGACGAGGGGTTCGAGAAGATGATTTTTGGAGAGGCATGGTAGCAATTGAGGAACGAAACTGCAAAGTCAGATGAAGAAAAGGTGTAATAAACATTTAAAGTGCAATAAAATGGTTTATAACTAACCATTATATTACATTATAATTTGTTAATTATTATTTAATATTGCTTGTTTTTTGTATGGTCCTTGTATGTAAACATTTGTTTTTAAATGTATTATACAAATAAAATGTGATTGATTGTTAGTTACAATAAGACTACATTTTATTATATTTAATGTTCATTTTATGTTATTACATTTTTAAAATATCTTTCCTTATCCAAGTTTTTATTCCGTGTGATTCAGTTTTAAGGGAGGTATGAGATATAAGACACGTGATTATAATACTCGGTAAATTCCATGTTTTATCTACAGCCATGTATGAAATCATTACGTTGCACAAAAAAAAAGTTATGATTGCGTAAAGGCTGTGAAAAAGAGGAGCTGACAGACGCCAAAGCCAAGCTCGGACTTGTATGTGAAGCGCGTGCTTAAATGCATTCTTCCCTCGAGCTTTCTCGCGAGGGCGAAAAAAGTCTCAGATAAACAATATGAACGTGCCCACAACTTTTTAAAACGTAATTGTATTAAATAATTACTATTGAGATTTATGACAGAAACAGACAGAATTCCGACCGTTTTCTGAAGCCCAGGAAATTCTTTTAAAGCACAGGGATAATTTCTTACTTTACTATAGCCTATTTATTTACTAAATAGTTTTACATACTTTAATATATTTAATTGATTCGACATAAACATTTCATAATTAGCGCGTTTCACCCTTTATTGTTGGTAATAGGCCTAATCCATTTTAGGGTCATTTGAGAATCTTATTAATACGAAAGAAATAAGCAATATCGCTATATTCAAAAACAACTGTAACAGTTGGAAAGGGAATCAGTTCTAGACGCCTTTACCAGATCTATTGACTACGAGTATACAATCAGATATTCTGAGGCCAGTTCAACTGATGAATACTATAAAACAACTTTTATGTAAAATATAATACACATTAGATTAAAACGAAGTAGTTTAATTGCAGCCAAGTAACTCTTACCAGTGATCTGTTAATTTTAAGCAGAAGACCTGCCTTTTGCACAGGAATGCGTCCTCCTGTCCAGTGAAGCTGTAATAGAGCAAAAATCTATTTGTTATTAAATAGTCTAGTTTAATGCAATGAAGGTCCCTAAAGTGGGAGTAACTGCCACTAAAAGTTACGCGCCCAACTGAGTTATCGAATAGGTTTCCTTCAAAACGACAGAATTAAACTTACTTTGATCACTGTGTGCTTATCAGTGAGCTTATACCTATTTGTTCTTATAACCAAATGTATCTTTAAATATCTTTCGCTTTCCTTCTTTTACTGACTTTTCTGGCGTCGCTCTTCTCTCTGATATTTCTTTTTTTTTTTTTCCTTTAGGGATGGGCAAGGAAGTGACGTTAGTTTTGTACGGGAGCGCTCTGGCTGCAGCTGTAAATAGTCATGAAAGTACTGACTGACGCAGCGCTGCCTGTAACCTGGGTTTTTATTTTTTTCCTATCAGAACAAAATTATTTCACACGAATTTTTGTCTTATTACTGTGTGGACACGGTCCAACCTCACTCAAGAGTAGAATCGGGTAATTCAGGAGTAATCAGGGTATAATCTCCTGGGACCCGCAGGCATAGACTTTTGTCCTCAGTAGAGGCCATTATATTTTAGTGAATTTCTCTGAGACTTTACATGCCACACCTTCTGCTTGTTATTTAAATATGACTGAAATTGACAGAATGATCAATTTTAGCACTCTTAGGGAAATATAATATTTTGTAATTAATTATTTAAATCTGACTCATTTTGAAATCGTTTGTCATAAATAAACATCTATGGGGTTTCAAATCGGAATATCACTTTTTGTTACGAAACAAGGCATCATTTTCATATGTCTTCTGTAGAGGACACCAGGACAAATGGCATGTTAATCAGGCATTTTGGGGAGACACAACAAGTCAATAGGGAAAAAATTATAGATCAATATTCCTATGAAATATGAGATATTCTTATGAAAATGTTGCCAAGTTATTACTCCCATTATAACACTTATTTTTTCCATTATGGTTTGCCTGAAGAACACATTCATATGCAAATTAGATGCAGTGTAGCCTATAGATACATTGTATAGAATGGGAATATCAAATTATGTAAATTTTACGCACATATTGCATAAAGTAAAATAGTATATCAAATCATTCTGTTATATCTTTAATAACATAGTTGAGAACAGGGCTGGACTGGGGTTACAATTCAGCCTTGGACAAATCCAGCCCATCTGGCCCAAGAGTTTCCTCTTGAATGATTTACTGGGTTATATAGGGCTTTAAATTGGAGTAAATAAATGAATAAATAAAACAGGACAGAAACAAATAATGACATATATTACTGAATTCATAACAAATGCTACAATGTCTTCTGTAGAGGACACCAGGACAAATGGCATGTTAATCAGGCATTTTGGGGAGACACAACAAGTCAATAGGGAAAAAATTATAGATCAATATTCCTATGAAATATGAGATATTCTTATGAAAATGTTGCCAAGTTATTACTCCCATTATAACACTTATTTTTTCCATTATGGTTTGCCTGAAGAACACATTCATATGCAAATTAGATGCAGTGTAGCCTATAGATACATTGTATAGAATGGGAATATCAAATTATGTAAATTTTACGCACATATTGCATAAAGTAAAATAGTATATCAAATCATTCTGTTATATCTTTAATAACATAGTTGAGAACAGGGCTGGACTGGGGTTACAATTCAGCCTTGGACAAATCCAGCCCATCTGGCCCAAGAGTTTCCTCTTGAATGATTTACTGGGTTATATAGGGCTTTAAATTGGAGTAAATAAATGAATAAATAAAACAGGACAGAAACAAATAATGACATATATTACTGAATTCATAACAAATGCTACAAACGTAATAAGGCATTTTTTGTCACATAGAATGCACTTGACAGAAAAGCATTGATTTTGAGCTAGAATGCAGAAAATTAGATGTCCAAGATGGCGCCGACGCTGATGGCTGCCTCCGTGCCGTGCTCCGCAGTTGTTTTTATGTTTTTGTTAGTTTGTCCTGTCTTTAGTTATATCCCTGCAATCAGTTTCACCAGAGACGAATTGCTGGACATTCGGCAGTACACACCACCCGATATTTCCTTATTTACTTGTTCTATTTTTTTATTTTTTAATATCTGTGTTTTTTGTTCTGTCACTGTCATTCTGTTACACTGTGGAAGCTTCTGTCACGAAAACAAATTCCTCGTATGTGTAAACATACCTGGCAATAAAGCTCATTCTGATTCTGATTCTGATTAAATTCTGTCATCATTTCCTCACCCTCATGACTTAGGCTACTTTCTGCTGTGGAACACAAAAGAAGATATTTTGTAGAATGTTACCAAACCATTTTGGTTACCCTTGATTTTATGGACAAAAAATTCTTGAATTTCTCAAATGATCCACAGAAGAAAGAAATTCAAATTCAATTCTTGCTCTGTTTATCACTTTACATCGTCGCGGAAGCGCAACGCACGTTCATTGGCGGATGCATCGGGTAGCGCCGCGTCACACTTTTGGAGTAGGCTCTCTGCTTTCGCAGTTTTGCATGCGCTGTAATTCAAAAACAGCGCCTATTATGGGGAGGTCTCCCTCGGCCTAGTACTCGACCGGGAATGTCCCGGTGCTCCCGATGGCTAGTAGGCCTACATGCCTGGTTGAGAATCATCTTTGTACAAAGTTTGGTTAAAAATAGCCTGAAACCTAAAAACTCTTTGGTGAATGAAAAAAAATAAAGCATTGTTTTTGCCTATACATGCCCTTTCATGTCTATTTATTTTTTGAATAACTTAGTCCTGGCGTACTCTACAAAGGACATAGAATAAAATATGAATAAACTATATTTTTTCAAAAAAGGTTTTTCTACATTTGTTTCTTATGCTCCAACCAATGTAATGACATAAAACAACAACAACAACAACAACAACAACAAAATTCACAAAACTTTTTTTATGGTTCTCAGGAGGATATAGGGCTTTATAGGACTATTTGTACATTGTGTGTTTAGTTTATTGCCATGGATGAAACACAATGACACATGTTTTCGGAATCCTGTCTGTCAACATTTCAAGAGCTTGTTTAAGCAGAACCTGTTCTAAAGCTCTGTTTTGTGCTTTGTTTTTGTATATCCACGTATATCACTTTCACCATCAATATTATAATAGACGTGCAAAGGCCAAGATGAAAAAGCTAAAGATTTCTTTAAGTTAAAAGTTGTGTGAAATAATGTTCAGAAAAAAAAAATCTAGTTTAGGCTATTTAAATGAAACAGTTTGTTGAACCAGATGAAATAAAATAAAAAATCTAAAAAAAAAAAAAATCACAAAACTTTTAAAATAACACAAAATATCGAGTTTATATATAAGCCTAAGTTGCTTTCATTTAGTAAATGTTCATCTTGAAATATTGATAGCATAAAATTTGTTCTTACATTTACTTTTTAAAAATCATTAAAGATTTCGCAGCAAAAAGACATCCTGAAGGAGAATATTTTTAGAATTAAAGTATGACACTTACTAAAATATGAACTATCAATCAGAGGGCAGAAAGCAGAAGATTGTGTACAGTATAACAGATTTTTCAGAAAAAAAGTTATTATTATTTTTAATTTAGAGGACTTAAAAATTCATGTATCAAATATGGCACAGTCTTTACAGAGCTAAAATTAATTACAGACTAAAGGCTACAACTGACATCCTTTCTCCTTTGGTGGCCAACATTTCCTGCCTGGGACGAGAATTCAAGGATGCTGCAGCTGAGCCATGAATCACATCACATCACATCACTTCCTTTTTCATAGAACGGCTTACGTCACACTAGGGTTACTAATACAATGATGAATGGCTGGAAGTGTTGCCAGTGTATGAGATCACAAATACCCAGCATTACTGAAGGAGTGGTTTACTCAATTAGAGAATCCATTTACATGAACGAAACACTAAATCAGTCTATTTTTATCTTTACAATGCCGAAATAAGTCTGAACAGTATTTAAACATGGATTTATATTTGCTCCCCTGTAAACTCCCCAGATTTCGAAAGGAATACTTGGCTTTAATGTTAGAGGGGTTCGAATGTTTAGGGATAAAACATTGTGGAGCCAAGAAGCATATCAAAGTAAACAGTATACTTACATATAAAGTGCAATAAATGCAACACAGTAGATCTCTTTAACACCAGAACACATAAATATCTATTGAACATTTACTTAGCACACAACAACCTTTCCAGAACAAGGTTTTATATCATATGTAACCAGGGTTTGAAATTAACTTTTTCACTCACCAGCCAATTTGGCTACTAAATTTTTAAGTTACCGGCCATTCATAATTTCTACTAGCCAAAAAACGTAAGCAAATAAATTATGAAAAAAAGGCCAGAGGTAAGCCAACAGCTTGAGGCTGTCCACACTGGATGCGACAAAGTCACAGCTGATTTTTACCCGCATTTGGCGGGTTGGCGGGTGTTAATTTCAAACCCTGTATGTAACCATTCTGATGAAAATGTCGCCACCCAGTGGTGTGTCCTTAAAATCTTTTGGTCCTGAATTAAAACGAATCGAATTAACTAAACTGAGTAAAAACAACTATATAAAAATAAATAAATCTATAATAAATCTTTTTTTCTTTTTATAGTAGCCTGTTAACAAATTAGAACTTAATCAGAGACTTTTAATTTGAAAATCAAGTCAATTTAATATACTAAATTGAAGTAAAACTAATATAGACTATATAAATATATATAAAATGATAGATGAATCTATAATTAATATTTTTTTTTGTTTCTTTTTTATTGTAGGCTGTAAAAAAAAATAGAACGCAAACAGCGACCTTTAATTTGAAAAAACGACTTTTAATTTGTCTAGTGTAGCTGCCTGTCAGCCTGTTGTGAATGTCGGAGGATGTCTGACAACGCAGAATCTCCTACAGAAAATCAAAAAGATGATCCCTCGATACAACACACTGCCACTGAACACACTGGATCGTCGGATGAGAAGAAAAAGAGTATGGTTTTAGAATTATATACATGAGCAGAGAAACTGTTATGCATTAATTTCTAAACGCTGCTGCATTGATTATTTCGCGTAGTTTATTAGCGAGCTACTTCCGCGATTTCTCGGAAGATTGACCGCTCTGTCAGCCAATCAAGGTGCCGTTTGTGTAAAGGCCGCCAATGGCTGACCAAGCATGCCCGTGTTTTTTTGTTTTTTTTTACCATGACAGAGATTGTTAGAGTTATAGTTTTTTTTTATGATTTTAAAGAAAGTTAGGCCTAAACGCTAATTTAATTAACTATATTAATATCAATTAACCATTCTTATAGTGTGGCTTACGGTAATATCGTACCACCTTTTCAACCATAGGTGATAATTTATTACCGTGTATTATTTCACATTTAATTGCTTCGTGTGAACACCTTTGCGGACCCCATGGCAATATTGTACCATACTAATGTATTTATGTAATGCTTTTATTGCAAAGCCTATATTATTATTCTTATTTATGTATAGAGTCATATACTTGTACATTTTTACTTCACTTGCTTTCAACATTTCAGCATCAAACAATAATTAGCAGCCCACCCCTGTGGAAAAAGTGCATTTAATTGTTTTGAATATGCACTTGTAGTGTACTTCAAATGTTAAAATTATATTTAAAAACTGTACTTATGTAATGTAATATAATAATAACATACTTATAGTATAATACCATACTTATTCTGACCTGTGCTTATTAAAATATATAAAAAGTGATCATTCTACATTTTATTATATTTTAAATGATTAAAAACTAAATTACCATATATGTCTATGGAAGGATATTTGGCAATACACTTTAAGCATATTCCAAAGACAGTAGAAATAGAAAATTGCCTATAAAGATGTACTGAAGTCCTACTTAATTGGGTCAAAAACATTATTAACTATTAACTAATTGCAGTTATTAAAAATGTAGGCCTTAATATATTTTCATTTAATTGTAAATAACATGCAATTTAGTGTCTGAAAACATTACGTTCACACTTAAGGAAAAGTAAGTGTGATAAAGTGTATTATTTCCTCTGACTCTGATGTGGGATATTGCAGCTTCTCTTATCAATTATATTACATTTTATTACTTATTATCATATTAACATAACATATCTATTCATTAAAATTTATATAAAATTTCAGATTTAGTCACATTCCAGAAAACTGCAGTTATTAAATTAATTCTGCACACAAAGGTGTTCGCTACATGGCATGTAATATAAAATGTATCTTATATACACACAGTATATATATATATGTGTGTGTGTGTGTGTATGTATGTATGTATGTATGTATGTATGTATTTTTCTTTTTTCTTTTTTTTTTGCTAATTGTATCTGTAATGAATTTCAACTTCTTAAAGGGATAGTTCACCCAAAAAATTTAAATTCTGTCATCACTGTCACCCTCATGTCATTCCAAAGTTTCTTTCTTCCGCTGATCACAAAAGAAGATATTTTGAAGAATGTGGGTAACCGAACAGTTGACAGTAGCCAGTGACTTCCATAGTATGGAAGAAAGAAACTCATACAGGTTTGGAATGAGGGTGAGTAAATGATGACAGATTTTTATATTTGAATGAACTATCCCTTTAATAAATATGGTCTACAGATTTTCCAAATATGTTGTACATGATTTTTTTCTCATTATATATTTCAGTTGATGTGCTGTTGAAGGCGGTCGGTGATGCGCCCATCATGAAGACCAAAAAATGGTCTGTGGAAAGCGGGAGGACAGTACAGTCACTCGCTCAGTTTATCTCACGCTTTCTCAAACTCGATCCTAGTGAACAACTGGTATGTAATTCACCTCCGTCATGGCACCTCATTACATTAAAGAGCATTAAAGTGCAATGTAAGACCGGGTGTGTTTTGTGTTCTATCAGCATTCAGCGTAACACACATATTTATGTAAAAATACAACAACATACTTATTCTGACCTGTGCTTATTAAAATATATAAACGAAAAGGTGATCATTCTACACTTTATTATATTTTAAACGATTAAAAACTTCTTGCTGACAGATGGGTAAAACTTAGTGGCTTGAAGGATGGTGGGAAAGATTGGTAAAGATTTAAAAATACAATTAATTAGATTTGGAGAGTTTTTAATGTCATCTAATGATTCTTGTTCCAAATATGCCTTACAAGATTTTTTGGCATGAACTATTGTTATACTGAATGACATTTTAGTGGGTGTCTTCCATAAATCATGGTAAAAATGTATGATAGTTATTATTTTTGGCTCAGAAAAATAAAATGAAACAGGACACAATCTAATGTATGAAAATAAATCACCTTTTCGTCATTGACCCATATATTTAAAATAATTGTTACATAAAATATATTTTCATTTTTCAATAATTATAATGTAAATATAACATATTTATATACATAAATATAATGTATGTCATGTTTTCATAAATATGTGTATTTGTGAACCCAATCAAAATAATATCACTCATGAAATCAAACAGAAAAAAAAAAACAGAATTATGAGAGCTAAACTATTGTTGTTGTTTTTTCTTATTGCTTTTCTGCACGGAATTCTTTATCTTTATCTTTCTGCTCTTCCATCAGTTCATTTATGTCAATCAGTCATTTGCTCCATCACCAGACCAGGAAGTGGGTGTGCTTTTTGAGGTATGTTTTTTTTTGTGTGTGTGTGTCTCTGCCCCTTCTGGCTTTGTAAGAAAATTGCAAGTAGACTGAAATCATTCAGATTGCCATTTTGACAGTAGTGCAGCCACTGACAAATGCTGCTTAGCAAGTATTGCTCTTACAGTGTTTAAAGGGGTCCTATTATGCGTTTTCACCTTTTCAACTTTAGTTAGTCTGTAATGTTGCTGTTTGAGCATAGAAAAGATTCACAACACACACTGACCCAGCTAACCAATCGCAGCACATTTTGTATTTCAGAAGGCGGGCCTTCATTTGATACAGGAATTATTCGAGCCGTTCATGCCAAACTGGGGAGAGAGGTGTTGTAATAAATGTAAAATATGTGAAAAATAATGTGTTTTTCAAACAACCTAGTATGAGAGCATGTTCTAGTACACCCCCAAAACAAAATCAAGACTTTGTAAAAGAGCATAATAGGACCCCTTTAAAGATCTACCTGCTCATATTTTGACTATTTAGGAAGCTCAAAGCTCTGGTAAAATCTAACAATCCTCTTTACAAGGGACCATTTCTGTTCTAACTTTACCAGTGTAATTTATTATGGGTATAATAGGTAATGCCATAATAATACCATTTTAGTTGCCTTCATTTCTATGAAAAAACAGTGTGTTTTGCTGATTAGCTCAGTAAACCTTGTTGTTCTACTCTGTTTTACAGTGTTTTGGAAGTGATGGTAAACTAGTTCTCCATTACTGCAAGTCCCAGGCCTGGGGATGATCGGGCAACTTTTTTTTTCTCTCTCCCTTTCTCCCGTTTCATTTATACACCTGCACACATACAGTATCAAAAACATCACTCACACATCATGATTGTTTTTATAACTTATTGATTTTTCATGTGTCATTTTTTTGTAAATAATAAAATGTAAATAATATTGTAAAACAATGCAATATCTCATGGAACTTTTTTTTTTTAAAGTGGAGCGAAGATGGAAGGAATCGGTGGAAATCATAAGAACCCCAAATACCTTTAGCAACAAATTTTGATGGATGTTTTTCATATTTAAGCTCATGTTGAAGTGATTTACAGGGACAAGGACAATATGTGATTCTCAGAAGTACAGCGTGATTACTTTTCACAGGAGGGGTGGGTAATGTCCCAGGACAGAACAGGTCACATGTAAGGGGTGGTAGAGACGTACAGGGGTGTGAAGAATAGGTGGGACAGAGAGAGCAATGTGAAAGAAGACAGGATAGAAAGATGGAGACGGCGCTAACAGATGGACTGAAGAGGGATTATGGATGCTCTTGGTAGAGTGTGACACCAATTTACAAGGAAAGGCAGGAAAAGGAGGAGATTTGGGCAGGATTGTACCAAAAAAGAGGAAAAGCAGAAATAATCGCGAAAGGATAAGGAGAGAAACTGCATGCTGAATCAAAGAGACAAGGACCTTCTGTATTTAACAACTGCACAGAAGGTGGAAAAAGATCAAAATTAATGGATCGAATAGGGAGAAATTATTACGATGGACATGTAAGAAGATTAATGTGCACAGGTAAAAATAAGCTTTTTTTAATGCAGAATAATTGTTGATTTTCTTGTAAAACCACTCAATTTCATTCTCAATTCTGCATATATAATAATGTAACATGTAAAAGGTATTGCTTTCAGATCATGATGCAGTTTAAAGGAGAAACCTTTTAAACCTTTTGGTACTATTAACAAATAAATGATTGATTCAAGCATTTGTTCTGATTAGCAGACATTTTGTCTTTCATATCGCTTACAAAAACATTAAAATAATTGTAAAATTTAGTCTCTATATTCCAATAAACTGTAAAAAGTGGAAATGTGCAGCTGTTGCCTTAAAAAGCTATTTCCAGTTGATCTAACCATTGAAAACGAGTTTTGTTAATGTAACCTGCAGTAATGTAGTCAGGTTTATTCAGATATGTATATATATGTGTGTATATTTAATTGAATGTTCCATATTTTATGTAAAGGATAAATATATAAGTATCCTTAAAAGAGTTAAAAAAAACCCAAAAAAAACACACATGCACACCTACAAAGCCCAAACAGATTAAAACAGATTATTAGAGGATTACAAGTAAAGTTAGACTTAATGCAAGAGCTTAACTAATAATTTCATCACGTAACTTCAAACGTAATCCTTCGTTTTCCCTCTTTCCTTTTCTCATTTTTAATCCCATTCAGGGCTGTACTGGATGATGCGTTAGGGAAAATAAAAAATAGTTCCACATCATTTATTCAGCATTACGTAAACACGTTTGATTATACAGTTCTGCTCATAAGTTTACATACCCCTTGCAGAATATGGAAGATATGAATCATTTGAACAAAATAAGAGGGATCATAAAAATTGCATGTTATTTTTTTTATTTTAGTACTGTCCTGAATAAGCATTTTAACATAACAGATGTTTGTCCTGAGCAGTTTGAAAAACTTGGTTTTCTAGCATCTTCAACATATCTGAACTTGTTTCAATAGTGACTGTATGCTTTTGAGATGCGAGACTTTTTCGATATGTACAGTAAATGTGGTTGTAAATGTTTTGAATTGGATAATTGGGGCCGAACTTATTTTATATTCTGGGAAACATATATCTCATTTAGCTTTTGAAGGGAAGTGCCAAATATGTACCAAATACTAAATATATAGTGCAAAAAAGATATTCTTTAAACAAAACAAGAAAAATGTACACATCATCCTATTCAAAGGATTACATCCCCAGCTTTTAATGCACCGTGTTTCCATCTTGAGCATCAGTGAACGTTTTCACCTTTTGTAATAGGTGTGTATAATTTCCTCAACTGTCCTCAGTGTGAAAAGATGGATCTCAATATCAGTCACTGTTGGAAAGGGTTAAAACATGCTAGAAAATTAAAGAATGTGCAGGACCTGAAGGATTTTTCTAAAGAAATGTGGGCAGTTTAACTGCTCCAGACAAACAAGGGACTTGTGAACAACTATCACATAACAAACAAACAGTCATTGATCATCCAGCTAGCAACACACATTATTAAGATAAATAACATAAAAAATATATAATCCTCTTATTTTTGTTAAAATTCTTAACATCTTGAATATTCAGCAAGGAGTATGTAAACTTATGAGCAGAACTGATTATGACTGATATGAGAAGAAGCAATAGTAAATAATCGTAAGGGTCCTTAGTTTGATCCGATTTACAGTAAAGAAAGTTTTGGGAATTTATTGACCTATGCCTATGGTTTTCAAAGCTTCATAAATCAAAAATATAAACAACTCAAATAATTTCTAATAAAGCAATTTAATGAGATTAAAGTGATTATTTGTGTTACAGCAATTGGTGATAGAAAAAAAATTATGACTCCATATAAAATATATAAAACAAATTAAAATATCAAATATTAAAATAATAATCCATATAATGATATACTTATGCCAGGAAGCAACACACAAATGTCTGTCTGTTTAATGTAATATGCCTTTTAGAACTCTTAAAGGACATTTCCATTTTCTTTAAGTTTTATTTAATTTAATTTAATGTTTGTTTGGATAATAATCATCTGCCCAGAACAAGGTGTAGTGTATAAGCCTGTGACATATGTTGTTCTTTCCTCTCTTACTAAGGTTCTTCCCTGATCTGACCCTCTCCTTTAATAAATCCACATCTTCATTTATCCTACCATCTGTCACAGGGATCTCTTACTCATTTCTGCTTTATATAATTTTCTCAATTTCATTCTCATCCCCAAAGATTTCTTGTGCTTGGTTACTGATCCCTGTTTGCCCTTTAGAAAACCAGCTCTGGGTAGCTTTATAAAACCAGCTCCTTCCCTTTGGGTAGCATGTTGGACCACATGTCCAGGCGTTCTCGCTCCCTGGTCTCTCTTTTCCTGACCTCCCTTGCCCTCGCTTTATCTGTGCTGGCTTTCTGTACGTCTTACTGGTGTGAAGGAACGCACAAGGTGGTCAAACCTCTCTGCCTTTCACCTGTCAAGATGAAGAACTGCGGACAGAACAACAGTGAACCTTACACTACAGGTATGATATAGCCTTCTGGTTTGATATTACCTGTGATAAATCACAATCATGATGATATTCAAACCAACATCACAATTGCAAGTATGACTTTAAAGGAATAGTTCATCCAAAACTTTGTACTCAGGCCATCCAAGATGTAGATGAGTTTGTTTCCTCATCAGGACAGATCTGGAGAAATTTAGCATTACATCACTTGCTCCGCAATGGATCCAATGCAGTGAATGGGTGCCGTCAGAATGAAAATCCAAACAGCTGAGAAAAACATCACAATAATCCACAAGTAATCTACACGACTCCAGTGAAGCAAAAAGCTATGTGTTTGTAATAAACAAGTATATCTTTATGCCGCTTTTAACTTAAAACCATAATATTGCTTTTTCCAGTGAAAAAGTTGCCTTATCTGAATCACGAGAGAAAAATGCACAAGATCAAGCACTGTTTACGAGTAAAATCCATCCAAAACTGTTCTAAAGAAATACTGCAAGTTGGGTGCTTTTTCACTGGAGGAAATGTTAGAATAGATTATGGACTTGTGTTTTGGCTAGAAACAACAGTTTAAAGTTAAAACGTCTTTATAATGGATTTGTTTCTTACAAACATGCATATTTCCACTTCATAATACTTTAATTGATGGGGTTGTGTGAATTACTTGTGGATTATTGTGATGTTTTAACAGCTGTTTCGGCTCTCATTCTGACGGCACCCATTCACTGCAGAGGTTCCACTGGTGAGCAAGTGATGTAATGCCAAATTTCAACAAATCTGTTCTAATGAAGAAATAAACTCATCTACATCCTGGATGGCCTCAGTGGGCAAAGTTTCATTTTTTTCAGTTCCTTTAAGAATTGAGTATCTTAAATTTTAGAGAAAATGATGCCATTTGTTTTGGCTAATGACCTGCCAATGGAAATAGTTTTAAACTAAATGAAAACACAATTAACCTTCGCACATCTCTGAGCAGAAGTGGTGGTGTTTCTTTTCTGAATTTATCAGTCAGTGTTTTCAATATATTGGTTGAGTGAATGGCTCATTCATAAAGATAGTTGTCACCTATTGGCGTAATAATGTAGCCTGCAGAAAGAGTCAATGAAAAATCCCCACTACTAATGCATACGTACTACAAATGCTACTAATGATACAAACAGTGACTGTACCATACACTCATTCAGGTTACTGTCAGGCTAATTGGTTGTCCTCTTTTCTCTTCAGAAAGCCCCACCTCGGATCCTCAAAACCCGTTACCAACATTATTACCAAAGCGAAGAGAGGAACTTGCCAGGATTCGACAAAGACAATTGGCCAATGCAGTGCACTACATTTGGGAGACAGGAGAAGACAAGTATACCTTCAGATATTTCCACACAGGATTTTGGGAGTCTTGTGAAAAACATGCTGATGGTAAGAAAATGTCTCATCAAGAGACATCAAAGCAATATAGTTCACCCAAAAATGAAAATTCTGTCACCCTGAGGTATCTACTTACCCTCATGTCGCTTCCAACCAATCATGTACTTTTTATTTATGGACCACAAAAGGAAATGTTATGCTGGACTTTCATGCTGCTTATTCCCCTGTAATGAAACTGAAAGTTGTCCATTTTCATTCCACCAAATTCATTGTCAAATTTAGTGAATTGGTCACACTAAACCAGGGATTCTCAACTCTGGCCCTCAAGATCCACTTTCCTGCAGAGTTTAGCTCCAACCGTGATCAAACTCACCTGCCTATAACTTTATAGTAATCCCGAAGACCCTGACCCTTGTGTGTTTGTTTAGAGTTGGAGCTAAACTCTGCAGGAAAATGAATCTTGAGGGCCAGGTTGAGAACCCCTGCACTAAACAATAGCATTTGTGAATATTGACGTCGTAACTGGTACACTCACCGTACTCTTTTCT